TTTATTATTATAAAATTTTATTAAGATAAAAAAATATAGCTTTAAATTAATTTGAATATTATAAAAGTTGGATTAATTAAAGTTTGATTAAGATTATTAAGGATCATCTAAAGTTTATTTAAGAATCTATTAGACTTGATAAGACTCTTGTTACATTTCTACCTATCTTCCATAATTAAGTGCCTAGTGCATTCTCAAGTAAGTACACACATAATACAACACTAGCCTTGATAAATAGGTTTTTGAAAGCTTAAGAATTGCCATCATTACTTGGCTTATTCCTCTCTAGCTAAATCTTTTTTCTTGATGCCTTTCAAATAGTTGATTGTTGCATGCAATGGCTTGAGTAATAAATTATTTCAAAGAATCTACTTTTGGCATTATAAACAATAAATCTTTGATGTTATCCTTCAACTTATATCAAAATTGATTGATAAAGGCTTTGTCATTTCAATTCATGTCGCAAATAAAGTTTTGGAATTCAACAACATATATGGTGGCTAAGCATGATTCTTATTGCTAAGATGAAAATTTGATCTTTGCTACTTTTTCTCAATTACTTTCTCCAAATATGGCTATAAACACTTCTAAGAATGAATTAAAATCTTAAAGGAGTCATGAATTCTTTTCCATTAAAGGTTCAAATCAAAAGAGAGAAATTCCAAAAAGAAGTATGACTATGAATCCAACTTGAGTAAATCCATTGATATTGAAAAAGATGTAATCTTAAATAGAGCTTAATTTATTAAAGAAATCTTCAAAATTTTGATCTTATTCCATCAAAATTCTTACATATACTAATGCTTGCCACTATCATCTTTGTAGGAGTAAAATTTATTAAATTTAGATGTGAGATTGATCTACTTGCTTCCTTTAATTATATAACTTTTTAGAATAAACTCTAGAACTTTTCCATAGGTGTAAGAATAATGCTTCCATAATTGGCATTAATGATGTGTAAATTTTTTATCTTAAGAATGTTGACAAGCTTGTAAAGATTTACAATATTTGCAAATCTATTCTCACTTTTGCTAAATATAGCATCAATGATTATTCTTTCTATTTCAAATAAATTAATAATTCCACAAATCAAGTTAGAAGAGGATAATCTACAACCTTTAATGTCAAATGAAAATTTTTACGAAGAGAGGTGATCTGCTTTTTTAAAAAAAAATCAGTGTTAAAAAATTAAACTATTTATTTGAAGGTGGATAGTCTAAAATCTTCAAAAGATAATAATAGAAGTAGAATAATCTACTCACTTCTAAAAAAAAAACAAACAAATAAAAAAATAAAGAGTTATCACTCTTCTCAAACTGTAAATGACATGAATTTTAAAGAAAGAAAACTCAATACATTCTTGTGTCATTCAAAAAGATTAAAAAGCCACTCAAAGATGATAATATATTGAAATAAAATGGCTACTACCAAAGATAAGAAGACTAAAAAATCTTGAAACAAGACTAATAACTAGAAAGGTATTAATAAGTATAAAAAAGGCTTTATTCTTGCTTCCATATATACTATCTAATTAGAAGCTATGTGACAATGTTTTATAGGACCTCCAATATGTATTGACTTTGCTAGACACATGTCTTATTTTGGAAGGCAAGTTATCTATATATACACCACATAGTTAGCTTCTTCTACAAGCTATCAACATGTGTGATTCGTGGCTAACTTGTTAACTAAGTTTTTAACTTATCAATTGACCATATATATGTGTAAAGTCAAAGCAACATCTATGAAGCTTCTAGAAAGCTTTTTTAGAAGATATTATGAAATTAATCTATATTTACCTACTTCTACTTAAAAATATAGATAATTAATGGATTAAATATGTATGTTTGTGATACTTAGCTATAAAGTTCCTAAATGCCAAAGTCTTGAAAACATTAGATATTTTTCATCTATATTCTATAGACCAATAAATTAACTAAACTATAATCTAAAAGACTTCTATTATACAAAAAATCTAGAAGTTTATTTAAAAAATCATATTATCTCTATTTCAATATAAATTATCAAATATAGATATAAATATAAATATATATATATATATATATATATATATAATATGAAAATAAATTTTATACATAAGCATGTTAATCTTTTTAATCAATAATAAGGAAAATTTAAAAAAGATAGTTTCAAGCAAAGCTATGTGAAGATATTACAATCATTGATGACAATGCTTGCTTTTAGACTTCATAAGAGCTTTATTATACTAAAATATTCAAAAAAAATATTATTATTATTATTATTATTAACATTATTTTATTGAAGCAAAATAAACACATATTTGTTATAGATTACAAAAAAAACTTCATATTAAAAAAACCTATAAAACCTTCTAAAACTATCTAAAATTTGTTCAAGGGTGAATTGGAATCATAAAACTAGACATTATTAAAAAAAAAAAAACAAAAAAAAAAACAAAAATCTAAGGTGAAATAAATACCCACTTGCTAAGATTTGCACTTATTGTCCTATTCTAAAATGTTGGATAAGACCAAAGATTTGACTAAACCTTTTTATCCTTCAAAATCAACAGCAAAGAGACATTCACTTACATTCCAAAAAATAGACAAACATGTGGCAATCCACCGATTAGTCAGTGACTCATGCGCCATGTCTTGAAACTGTTGAATTCAACACATATTCTCCTCTACCTTCTCCATTGACACCTACAATCAAGTGAGTGCACAAAGCCTGATCAAAAGATTGTAGTGCAGGAGCATCAGATTCAATCACATGAATAGCCCGATTGTGGCCTTGCATGTAGTGTCCTGCAGCACCACTCTCACTCACTCACTCCTTTAGATCTGTAAGTGCAAGTGGTGACGAGACGACGGCAAATTCTAAGTTGCAGCGATGATGATCCCCGTAACGAAGGCATGGTGTCCCATGTGATGCCATTGGGTTTGGACTCCACACCAGCTCCACCGGGCTAATGGATGAGCCAAGTCGACACCAAAGTGCATTGGATACGCAAGCTCAGGAACTTGCAATTCAGGTACTTCTTCTCTCAAGTCTCTAATCACACGTAACCATCGTTTATAATTTTCATTGCAAGAAGTTGACATTGTTCAAGTGTTTCAGAAAGAAGTTCTGCAAACATGCAACTTCCGTTATGGCTTTGAGAGCCGAATAGGAGCCAAGATCTTTATCAGACTCAATCAACGTACCATGGATATATTAGTAACAATGTCTTTCTAAGATTAATTGCGATGTTCGATTCAACACAATAAGTGAACAGCGACGTCAAGACAATTTTTGACATCTTTCAAGTGCAAAATAAAGTTGGAGTATTGTTGATTTGAACATGATTTTAATTTTTCTACTAACTAGGTGTGTTTCTTTCTGATGCGTGGACTTGCCACCCTAAATTATCACATTGCAGTGTTGCGTGCATTATCTCGCTTTTTAAGTTTCTACTTGCCTCTAGCAAGCTCGCGGTGAGGCGCACGGTGAGGCGAGCATGGTGATAGTGGCACCAAAGACTGCGACAGGGAATGCGTGTCGTAGCTCAATTCTCTGGAGGCAACTGCAGACACGGTAAAAAAAAACTATATAAAATAATAATAATAATAATAATCATAATAATAAATAAATAAAACGCGCTACACGCGGCTTGGGCCCATTTCAACCTAAAATTGGAGATTTTGAAATAACTCATCAGACATAGGGGTAGATTTGATATCATAACAAAACTGAGGAGTATGTTTGCTATTATCAAGAATACGGGGTATTCTTAGTATTTCAAAAAAAATTAAAGATAGTTTTGATATTTTTTCTATAATATATCTAATATATCTATATTTATATCTAACAAATTATTATTCTTAAGAAAGGTGAAAATCTGTAAAAGACATAGATGAAGTATTGAGAAGTAGAGATACATTGATTAAATTAGTATTTTATGTAAAACTTCATATTATGCTCTTTATACTTCTACATAATAATTATGACAAAGATTTATTGTTAAATTAAGAATTATATGTTTAATATGAATAATATATAATAACTAATATATATTAATATGATTATTTATAAAATCCTATCTATAAAAATCATAAATTATATTAAATTAATTGAAATAGAAAGTATCCAATTTTAACAAATTCTAATCAAGATTATTTATAAAAAAACTCAAAATGGATGTTATAAGACATCAATATAAATAAGGGATTTCTTGTGAACAATAGTTGTAAAAAACACAATGCTCTCTCTTTAGCCTACCATTATTTCTTGATGTTATTAATAATTTTGTATTATCAAATAATAACAAAGAAAAATAAATATAAAAATAATATGAAGAACCGTGTGGACCACTCTAACAACAATAAATTTAGACTAATTTAATACTTTTGAAGACTATGATCATAGAATCCCAATACTATTTTATACATAAACAAATAAATAATCCAATCCAATTCACAACCCCTCATCAAATCTGTCCTTAAAACAACATAGTTTAAATACCTTGTTCTTAGAATATTACATTTTTCTTTTAAAGAAGAGATAACAAGTCACATTCTATTGGTTTTTGTATTCCCCAAGAAATGTCTCCAAGTTACCCCCCTTTTCACCAGTCAAATTATCCATGACAATGGAAATAGAGTGTGGGTCACCTAGTTTTCATGTTGGACAATTGGAGAAGGGCTGGTAGCAGAGCATCTGTCTGTGACGTGATACCACAGTCTAGGTTGGTCACATCATGGAAAAACGAATTTCCTCCTTTCCAACAAACTGTTTCTCCCATTAATCTCCACACGTAATCCTTCTATTAGGTGTAGCTTTTACTAAAACGTTTTCTCCTGGTCATCTTCTGTAATGCATTTCATATGTGGAACTTCAATGGATGAAACAAACCCAACAGAACTTTGAAGACTCAACAGCATGAGAAGTTCTAGCTTGAGTACAAGGATAAAAGTGGTAAGCATACAGCCAGTAACAATTGATGAGGGTTGCAACTTCGGTTCAGATACAAGAATCAATTGGCAAATGAATTGCATTAAAAAGGGTCTCCTACTGTTTAACCATTTGACATAATGATTCAGCAAGCAAATAACTTTGACATGCATCGACCTTGGAAGTTGTAAAGTTTTGACAATACTTCTGGATAAAAGACATCTGGAATCCAGCAGCTTACTGCTTGAAAACCCACCATTAATTAAACTATATTACATTAAATATTTTACACCAGAGTTGGACACTTCGCATCCAAAAATTCTCGAAGCATACGCGCCGGTTGTTTGCCTCCCATCAACTCCGCTAATTCATCCACTGAAAGCAAAGCCATTTCTGCAATGCTCTTACATCCCGCCATAAGTGACCGGTAATTTGCATCCGAGACTCCTGGCAATCTACGCAGAAGCTCCACGGCAGTGGTATTGAAATTCTCAGCTCTACAAAACAATCAAAGGCCAAGAATGTTAATAAAACCTATCCCTTCATTGTCCAACATGACGCCCATACATAGCAAGCTAAAAAACAAAAAATCGTTCAATCTAATCATTAAAATATAACAAGATCGCTCAGAATTTTAGTATGGTGGCAGAAAAGAGGGTAGTGAAAATTTCAAACCTGATATCACCTTCGATAAGTCCATCTTCAGTAGGTACCCCAACACGCATGGCTCGGTCTAAGTCTGGCTCATTCTGGTTAGACTTCAGTGCCATAAATATGTCGGCAGTTGCATGGAGGCTACGGGACCACACGATTCGTAGACGTGGAAAGTGGAGCACCAGCAATGATAATTTCGAAATAATATTGGCAGGTGCAATGTCTTCCCCTATGTCACTGGCAGCCTGAAGAGTGCACAGTCAACAATATCAGATATCCTTGCATGAAAGCACTTGCAACTTCCCAAAAGATGACGAAGAATAGACAGATGTTCACAATGAATCAGCTTACCTGGAGAGAGAAGCTCTTATCCTGAGAGAACTCAATAAGCAACACTGGATACTTATAGTATCGCGACATGGTTTCAGCTTGATGATATAATCGTCCAGATGAAAAACTGGAGAATAGATCTGCAATACTCTTCCGTTCTACACAGATGTCAGGAGAGAGGATGTAATCACCAACTTCAAGAGTAACTGGCAAGATCTTCATACCCTGCTGATGAAGCACGGAAGGAAGACTACTTCCAAACTCTCTCATGTCAACCACCACCTGCACATTCCAATCACTTTTTCAGCAGACTGGACAGCAGAAACTGAATAAGAGACAATGCAAGTTAAATGATAAAATCAAAACCTAGGTTTACATTTAAACGGAAAAAATATTCTCTGAAAAAAAACTAAATATCTTAGCGTATAGGGATCTACCTGCATCTGCTTTTGAGCTTGCTTACGTCCAACACCCTTCCTGGTATCCAACGTCACACCTGTTGCAGTGGCTTTTGTTGGAGACGCATCTAACAGTCTTCCATCCTATATTGAGAAAAAGAAGAAGTTATCATCAGATAAGATGTTGCTACAAAGACTTCTAAGAGCTGCAACTTATAAACAAATACATTAAGAGGATGAACGAAACAAGCCCTAAAAATACAAGACAACCTGAAATTATCAAAGACGTTAGCGACTCAAGCATAGAAGACAATGCAATACCTGGTCCACAGGAATGGTCATTGTCGCTTTTTGCCGTATTAGATTTTCAAAAGCAACATTCTCCTTCTTTATACTGGATTCAAACCTGCTGGCTTCAGTTGAGTCCTCATATAACAGGAAATACACCTTAAGTGGACGACCTTGATTCATTGCTTTGTACACTTCCAATTCTCGTACAAACGCCATGTCAGAATCGTACACTATAACATATAATGGCCGCAAAAGTTCCAAAATTCGTTGCTCACTCTCTAAAGCATAGAAATGCACTGGCGGTACTGACTTGGGTTGTTTCTCTCCTAACAAGAACGTTTCCGTTTCCGAGACCTCATTTCCAGACTCAGAGATTGAGGTGTTTCTTCTAACATGCGCAACTTCGGAAGGGTCTAGCGCTGACCCTGTCAACCTTATCTTAACTGCTGACTCGATGGTATTACTGTTCTCCAAGCTGGATCCTTGAGCAGAACTCAATCCCTTTCCTACAAAGGTCGCCAATGATCTCCGTGAAAATTAAGAAGCCACACAAGTGTGGCTTACACGTTCATGTATTTCAACCCAACATACACAGGAAGCACTAAATATAAAATGTAGTCACAAGAACTAACATAAGCCTTGACAAAGACCATCAACCTCAACATTGAACTGCTTTATGCAAGCAACATCCACATCAGCAACCTTCAAATCTAAGGAACCTGTAAATCGGTGCACTGTAAGCGGAATACTCAACGCCAAATTGAAACATCTCCAGGAAGTAAGTTCCGAGATGGCTACATAACAGAAGATATTCAAAAACAAATATGATGTAGAGCAGGAAACATCTACAGGACGTGTAATCTATGTCAAATAGCATCCAAGTTGCACACTGACGTACCTTTCTGATCTTCACTGCTTACTTCACGGCCTCTTCCCCTTCCCCTTCCTCTTCCTCTTCCTCTCCCCCTTGCCTTTCCTCTGCCTGTAGCCCTTCCCTTGGAACTTGTTTCATTTCGTGGAGCCGCATCTTCTCCAACTCCAATAACTTCCACATTTGCCTGGGCAACCTCACTAGCAGCAGCCGCCAAAGCTTTCAGTTCTTCACTCGACTCGTTTCGATTCCTAACCTCGCCTGTTGGGAATACTGGATGACCTCCCTTTCCAATCATAACCCCAGCCCACTTTGGGTTGGAACCAGTTGGTACCTTCTTGGTGCGCGTCTTCATTCTCTGAAGGTCAGCTTTACTTAGCAAGTACTTTGTCCATTCCTCTCGCATGGCCTGCAACATATAAAACAAGAACTCTTTGAAACCACAGAGGGGCTATCCTCGAAATCGTCTAAAGCACATGTCAAAGCATGGAAAAGAATAAGATCTTATGTGGAATTTTGCCAAAGCTGCCAAACCACTCATCCATGTGAGTTTAATTAGCCAAGTAATTTTACGCATCTCATGTGGATTGATTTATAAAAAAGAGAAAGACATGTTTTATGTATTGCGCAGCAGTTCTATTGAACTAAACTAGTACTGACAGTATTCATCAGAAAAAAGAGGCATAAAATAAGTAAAATCTACGGTCGTCATTACCTTCTCAGGTCCATAATGCACAACTTCTTGCAGCTGTAGACACATGCGTTCGTCCTTGCATGCTACAAGCACTACATCCTCAACTTCCTCTCCAGCACACTCTGACGATCCCTCTATTGCTTTTTCAGCCTTTGACCTTTGCCTTTCCTCCTCAATCTCCTCTAGCACTTCCTGAAACCCCAAAAAAAGTTGATGCCACGCAGTAGATGTTAGAGACTATCTGAAAATGAGGCTAGAAGTCGCTACCATTGAAAACGATGAACAGTAAATGCTTTCGTGCAACGATATCATAGTACGAAGATTAGAACTGAAAGTTCAAGCAAATAATTACGCAACGAACAACACGAATCAGAGTCGACTACCGAAACACATAATACATGTCTGACTGAGAACCTAATTCGCATCTTAATTAGTGCAAAAGTCGCAATACCTGCCTGCATTGCACGCGAGAGAAATTTTATGAACGACAATGAGGAGGTAAATTTCTCAGAGCTTTTAGTACGTATTAGCCAAGCAAGGACAAAAAAAGACACAATCGAATGACGGAAGAGTACCCGCAGAAGTCTCCACTTGGGCATTTCCTCTATAAAAACTTCGACCTGAACTTCTTGAGTTCCCTCTGTAGCATCAGAGAGTTCGGCCGGACCATCTTGAGCACTTGCACCCTGCTGAGGATCTTTCCAGCTCGAAGAAGCGGCAGAATTGACATCTGTACTAGAATTAGTTTTCTCTAGCTTGGTTGCACTGATGTTCTCATGTTCTAACTCTCCATTACCTGAACACAAACAGCTTAGTGAGGACACAATTTTCATAAGATTGAAACAATTGAATTTACCCAATTCCGCACTGACCTGAAAAAGAACAAAACAAAACAAAAAATGATGGACTAAATGACAAGAAGCAATAGGATATCAGAAATAGATTAGCACAAAGCTGTGCAAAATGCACAACACATATGTAAATTCTCAAACTCAAGGGCCGCAGTGCTGCTGCAAATTTACAGTCTATTCCATCCAATCCATATCAAGAGACGTGCACACGAAGATACTTCTTTGATGTTTTTAGCTCACCTCCCATTTTTCTCTTTGACCGCACCTGATTTCCTCCTCGGCCTCTTCCTCCTCGACCTCCACGACCAGTCTTCGCTTGAGCGACGCGAGTACCATCCGCCCTGACTAGCGAATAAACCCGTTTCTTTGCTAATTCAAAGATCTTGTGGGTGGGATTCGCAAAAATCCACACTGACCTCACACCTTCTGTTACTCGCAAAGTGTCCAAGTACTTCAAGAACGTCACAGAGTCGTATCGAAGTAGATAATCAGCTAATTTTCTTAAAGTTTTGAGATCGCCTACTAGCTGCTTCGTTTTCCATCCTAAAGTATGCCAAATAGGATCTAATTGTGACCTAACAATCTCATCAAAGGATTTCAAAAGACCGTTCTCAACAGTCAATTCTTCTACATCAATTTTGTTCGTCTTTCTAAGCTCCTTCAAACAGGCATCCATCACTTCTACAATGGCAGTTTGGATGCCAGCCATGGCGGATGTCAACGGCATCCGTATATCAACAACACAGGGGGGATTCTCCTCAAGAACGTCGCTTACTGAGAGATGAAATCTTGGCCAAAGATATAATCTCCTCACAAACAATGATTTCATTATTCTTTCGGTTTTGTTAAAACCGGAACTCATTGCTTGAGGTCGATCTGAAAACGCCCGAATAAATCCTGTTCTATTTGCTTGTCGGAATAACCTTACAATAAATGCCTCGGCGCAAGTTTCCGTCAAACGATGCGCATTGTTGACCATAATTCCTGCTACTTTTTTGAATGGAACACGCTCATTCAGCATGTCAACTATAAGAATTCTCGACGTGATGGAAAACACACCCCCTTTGTTGTACATTTCAATCCTCTCTGCACTCGTATACTGATTGTTGATATCCTTAGGAAGGGGGGCAGCAGCGTCTTGTTCTTGAATTTCTTCCACAAGTGCCTGGCGTTGTACATCCGAGGTCGAAAGAAGTAGTACCAAGCCATTCTCTGCAGAATGTATTCTAACAAGAGCAGCCAAAACTTTAGCTAACCCTAAACCTGCTGCAATTACAGTGACGCCATTTTCTTCCACAATCTCTCCAACAATCTGCTCATGAAACTGCAACATATTTCCAAATCGTCTATCCTCAATGCAAAATAACTATGAATTCTATCGTCGATAACTTACAACTTCAATCTTATTGCAAAATCGAGCACCCATCCAATTCAACTCAGGTAGACTTGGAATACGCCTAAAATAATTCAACTCAGTAGCTCAACCTCACTCTAGCATGAAAGGACCTTCACCAAAAAAAAAACAAAAAAACAAAACAAAAACAAAAAAAACAATCAAAAAGTTCAAACGAAAACACGTGAGCACAGACAACCGGAACTGGCGTTGCTTGCAAAATTATCTAAATTCTGGGCATCCAATCCAACCCTCAACTACATGAGCAGGAACAATCAACTCACACGCAGAAATACATAACATGAGCTCTATCAGCATCGGTCAATCCTAAAATCGACCTTCACATGAAGAATACTCTAATTGAGCTCTAGAGGACTGCTCAGCTGAACTATGCGAAACACGAAGTGGGAAGTTTGTTTTCCTGAATGGGCAACTGAATAATCGGAATTGTCGTCCAGCCACGACAGTGGACGCACATTCTGCCGGAGGAGCTTGTGCACCAAGGAACCCGAAGGCGGTCATAGTCAACGACGTCGACCACACGACAATTCCATCTGGATTTGTCAATGATTGTCGTTCTTCATGATTGTACCCTCACTGCAAAATTGATAGCACGTCCACTTTTCAATCTTAAAATAATACGATTTCGTGTTGTGTTTGAATGTAATAATATCTAAATTTATATTAATGTAAAAACAAAACATGGACATTCTTTTCCATTTAAATAAATTCATCACTGCGGTATTAAAATGTTGAACCAATATTGTTTTCTAAATAAAGATGATTATCGAGGTGAGTCATGTATTATTAGATTTCACATGTCACCAATACTATAACAATTATGCACCTTCATTCAATAAAAACAAGCAAACAAAAAGTGAAATTAGAAAAATTAACAAGCTCATATTTTATGCTTTCATTCAATAAGTATAACTCACTATAATATTCTCAATAGGTGTGCAATCTACATATAACCTCAAAATTCTAGATTGTAATACAAAGATTGAATTTACATCAAGATATAGCAAGATCAAATTTAAAAACATGATTGTTAAGAACTAATGAAATTATTTAACTCATGCACAAGAATGTATCTGCATTCCTGAAAACCACGGAATCTCTAAATTTATAATTGAAAAAATGTCATAGAACAGTAAAGGATCAAAAAAGATACCTACAATTTTCAAACATTCGAAAACGCTCAACACATTAACCTCCCACTAATTTGATGAAAAGTTTTTCAGCACATATGATTCTGAGATTTATTGTTGAAGTTGGATTACTTCATCATCTATTTAGCCCGTGTGTACGCATTCACAAAAGATTAACGTATTTATAGACTCCTATATATCATATGAATACGGTATTGGGGTTTATTGTCACATTCGAACGGGAATGACGTCGCGACCAGTCGGACCTCGAAAACCCCGATGGCCCTTTATAGGGTTTGAAGCCCGGACAATAAACAGAGGAGGCTTCAGCTGGGGAACTTGGAGGATCTGGTTCAACCCTCTGGACATGGCGCCTTGAAGGAAGAGCCGTTGTTGCACCAGGTATTTGCTTCTGTTTTGCTCGCATTTGAAGGGAAAGAGGAAAAAGTAAAAGAAGTATTAGTGTTTCCAGTCGCATGCTGGTTCGAGCTGAGGTTTTGCAACAATTTAGAGATGCCAGGAATAGGCGAGGTACTGGCTCTGCCAGCGCCTCCCGAGGGCGGGCTGGGAGTGTTGCCGGAGGCACAGCTACCTGCTGATGTCAATATGAAAGAAGCGCCAGTGGCGCACAAGGCGCCGCAGATGGTAGCTACGCAGACGAAGACGATTGGTATGATCCACCCTCCTCCCGATATTCGTAGTATTGTGGACAAGACGGCGCAGTTCGTTGCCAAGAACGGCCCTGAATTTGAGAAGAGAATTCTTGCGAACGAGAAGAACAATGTGAAGTTTAATTTTTTGAATGCTCTGGATCCATATCATGCATATTATCAGCATAGAGTTTCGGAATTTAAGGCGCAGCTCGCTGCACCTGCCGTTGCTGGGCCGATGAATGTGTCGGTGAATGAAGAAGCTGAAGCCAAACCTCCACAGGAACAAGCAGATGTTGATGCAATAAAAGTGGGTGCCGTTAAACCCCCTGGGAAAGTATTGGAGCCTCCGGAACCAGATGCGTATACAGTGCATGTGCCTGAACTGGCTACAACCTTAGATGTGGATATTATTAAGTTAACAGCCCAGTATGTCGCACGAAATGGGAAAAGTTTTCTCACAGGGTTGACGAGCAGGGAGCATTCGAATCCCCAGTTTTACTTTTTGAAGCCTACTCACAGCATGTTCACTTTCTTCACGGCGTTGGCCGATGCTTATTCGAAGGTTTTGGTGCCTCCGAAGGGCCTGGTGGACAAGCTGAGAAAGGACGTGGGGAGTAAAACGGGTATTTTAGAGCGTTGTTTGAATAGGTTGGAATGGGAGAGATCTCAGGCTGCAGCGCGGCAGAAAGCGGAAGATGAAATTGAGCAAGAGAGGATGCAAATGGCTTTGATAGATTGGCATGACTTTGTGGTTGTGGAGACAATCGAATTCGCTGAAGACGAAGACGGTGAATTGCCGCAACCTATGACTCTGGAAGAGGTAATTGCCAGAAGCAAGTTGACGCCCGCGGATGAGGAGGAAGTGGAGGCGACCGAAGAAGGCAAAGAAATGGAGATGGACATGGACGAAGAGGAGCTGCAATTAGTGGAGGAGGGTATGAAAACTACGACGATTTCAGAGGGCAAGGATCCAGCTTATGATCAAGCAGATGAGGAAGAGGACGTACCCATGAGAATTGTGACGAACTGGAAACGACCCGAGGAGCGGGTGGCAGCAGAGAAGGATGTCTTGAAGGTGGTTGTGTCCCCGATCACAGGTGAGTTGATACCTGTGAATGAGATGGCGGAGCACATGCGCATCTCGCTTATCGATCCCAAGTACAAGGAACAGAAGGAGCGCATGATGGCGAAATTGCGGGAGACTACACTGGCTACAGACGACGAGATTTCACGGAATATTGTGGGGTTAGCACGCACTCGACCGGACATTTTCGGGACAACTGAAGAGGAAGTATCCAACGCGGTGATGGCAGAGATAGAGATAAAAAAAGACGAGCCAAAACAAGTTATATGGGATGGTCATACGGGTAGCATTGGTCGCACAGCTTCTCAAGCTCTGGCTCAAACGATGACGAGCGATGAGCAAATAGCTGCCATAAATAGAGAGAAAGCCAATCTGACTCCTGATGGAAGACCTCTTCCTGGACCTTCTGTACCCCCCGTCCCAAGGTTAGCTCCCACACCAGCACGTCCACCTATGCCTCCTCCAGGTCTGGCATTAAATATACCTCGGCCTCCCAATCTAGCAGGGCAGATTTCGAGCGGATCCCAATCACTCCAGCCCCCTCCTCGACCAGCAATGGTTCTTCCTGCACCTCCTGTGAGGCCTGCACCCGCTCCTCCTACTCTTCCCACCCCAGCTGTGATGCTTGTTCGTCCTCCCCCTCCTGCTCCTCATATGTTGATCCCCCCTGTAGGTTCTGCACCTAATCAGTATACTCCATTGCCTCCACCACCTCCAAGGCCATATCTCCCACCTGTGGCATTGCCACCCCCGCCACCTCAGTTGGGTATGCCTCCTCCTCCCCCTGATGAAGCTCCACCGCCACCTCCAGAAGAGCCCGAACCGAAGAGGCAAAAACTTGATGAAATTCTTCTTCTGCCGGAGGACCAGTTTCTTGCTCAACATCCGGTATGCCCACATTTCACCTTTGTTTTCCTTGTATCTGTATGTTCTGTTCGCTGGAATGTGGGTATCTACCTATATCCGAAGTCATTGTAAGTTACACAAGTTATTGTATGTTCATCCGCTTCGAGTTTTCTTCTGCAATTGACAGTCTCTCTGAGTTCGATGTTTAAACTGGTAATACAGTACAAGCAGGTTTGTCTACAAGTGTCTGCTCTTTTTCAATCCATTTGAGCAGACGTTACACGGTTTGCTGCACCTTGCACGAAGTTTTCTGGGACCGAAATGATGCAACTGTTGATCACTGCTCAAATTGCCTGGCAGTCTGTACCATTATTCAGTTTTGATTTAATTCTTTTAGTAGTGTGTCCTGGAATCACTGGATTTTCTGAAGTCATTTGCTTCTTCTGAAAACTAAAAAAAAAATGCTTTGACTTATCGTTCTTGGTACAGGGTGCTGTACGAATCCGTGTTTCAGTTCCAATGGTTGAAGGCGAGTCTAATTTCAGAGGCCAGACCTTGGAGCTGACGGTGTTATCTTTGTCGGAATCGATCAAAAGTCTCAAAGAGAGAATTGCAGGGGAGGTTCAACTGCCAGCTAACAAACAGAAGTTGAGCAGTCAAGCTGGGTTTTTAAAAGACAATCTCTCTCTTGCTTATTACAATATTGGTCCTGGAGATATCCTAACCCTGGGTCTCAAGGAGCGTGGTGGTAGAAGGTAAGGAAGATGTACATTAGTCATACAGATCAGCTGTCCAAGAAGCATCCGACCTGCTTTTCTGTTTGTGTAGCAGTCCTCCAAATAGGCACTCGTGGTAATCCTGCACCTCCCAAGACGCCATTTTAAAGTGGGTCGTAGTATACATTCAGGACATTCTTGACTGATAGACTAGATGACCCGAAACAGCAAAGATCCTTAACAAGATCCTCATTTGGATAGTCAGTTGATTCTGTGGACAAGGGTCACGTTGCTTGTTTCAGTAGGCTACAAATCAGCAGATGAGGCAACTAGTTGTAAACTGGTTTGTAAGGAATTTGGTATAGCAGGTAACTCAAGTAGGTTGCAGTGTCGTGAGCACTTCAATGTCGGGCATCCCAAGAACGTCATGTTTGTTTTTGGAGTCTTCCAAATGATTAATGCGGATTTTAAAACTCAGTTGATAATTCGGACCACATTTTAACTTTTTTCTTACACATTATTCCTGTACAATTCTTGAATTAAATGATGTGTACACAAGTTAAAAGAAACTAAGATATATGCGTAATCAGATGCCCTGCATACTATTTTACACATAAACTTATTGAACGTGTGCGTTTAGTTGGTTATTTATTTATGTAATGTTCCTGAAAATAAAAGTATAATGTATGAGACTTCTTGGGTCAATGCGAAGCACAAGTTTTATTAAAAAACGTAGTTCAGTAATGAATTGATTAGGACTCTTCTTGTATTCATAGCATTGTATGTACACATCCTCATGTAATTTTGAACTTGGACATATGGTTGTATAAAAGCTACCAAATACTTATAAATCAAAATAACTCATTAAAAAATATGTATTTGTTTTAACATATGCTGTTTAAATTATGTATTTACATATATATATATATATATATATATATATATTAAAATTAGTCCTTGAGGATCAATACATGTAAATTCTTGAGTGAATTTAAATGAGGAATATATTACATACATATAATTTCTAAGTAAAAATAATTTTTGAGAATATAAAAATGGGACTTTCAAGCTATTGTGTATAATTTATCATAAATAGAAAAATAAAAAATAATAATGCATTTATTTCTTTTTAAAGGTACATATGTTATCATCAACCTTTTTAAAAATGATTATCATGTGGAATCAAAAAAAAATAATAATAAATTGAATAAGATATATTAAAGTCCTTTACAAGAGAAATCTGCTTCCCACATTCATTGCACATCGACTTGCCACATATTCACATTGGTACATGTGTATACATCACTGCAGTTAGAGTGGCAGTGGTGGTGGAGAACAATAAAGGAAAATTGTTCCTATAGGGGAAGGGGATGAAAGCAGGCTGCCTAGGGGGGACATTGGAACAACTTTCATGTAGGATCTAGGCATCCGTGGCCCCTCTCTCCCTCTCCTCTCTTCACCTCATTGTATCTTTGGAATAATATCTTCTTCTTCACCTCATTATATCTTTAGAATAGTATCTTCTTCTTCACCTCATTGTGTCTTTGGAATAATATCTTCTTCTACACTTCATTGTGTCTTTGGAATAATATCTTCTTCCTCACCTCACTGTATCTTTGGAATAATATCTTCTTCTTCACCTCATTATTTCTTTGGAATAATATCATCTTCCTCACCTCATTGTATCTTTAGAATAATATCTTCTTTCGCACTTCAGTGTATCTTTAGAGTAATAACTCCTTCCTCACCTCATTGTGTCTTTGCAATAATAGCTTCTTCATTATCTCATTGTGTCGTAGGAATAATATCTTCTTCCTCACCTCATTCTCTCTTTAGAATAATATCTTCATCCTCACCTCATTGAGTCTTTGGAAAAATATCTTCTTCTTCACCTCATTGTGTCTTTGGAATATTATCTTCTTCCTAACCTCATTGTATCTTTGGAATATTATCTTCTTCCTCACTTCATTATATCTTTGGAATATTATCTTTTTCGCATCTCATTGTGTCTTTGGCATAAAATCTTCTTTCTCACCTCATCATGTCTTTGAAATAATATCTTCTTCCTCACCTCATTATATCTTTGGAATAATATCTTCTTCTTCACCTCATTGTGTCTTTAGAATAATATCTTCTTCTTCACCTCATTCAGTCATTGGAATATTATCTTCTTCCAAACGTCATTGTAACTTTGGAATAATATCTTCTCCCTCACTTTATTGTGTCTTTGGAATAATATCTTCTTCCTCACTTCATTGTGTCTTTAAAATAATAATATCTTCTTCCTCACCTCATTATATCTTCAAAATAATATCTTCTTCTTCACCTCATTTTGTCTTTAAAATAATATCTTCTTCCTCATCTTATTGTGTCTTTGTAATAATATCTTCTTCTTCATCTTATTGTGTTTTTGGAATTATATCTTCTTCCTCACTTCATTGTGTCTTTGAAATAATATATTCTTCCTCACTTCATTGTATCTTTGGAATAATATCTTTTTTTCATCTCACTGTGTCTTTGGCATAAAATCTTCTTTCTCACCTCATCATGTCTTTGGAATAATATATTCTTCCTCACTTCATTGTGTCTTTAAAATAATAATATCTTCTTCCTCACCTCATTATATCTTCGAAATAATATCTTCTTCTTCACCTCATTTTGTCTTTAAAATAATATCTTCTTCCTCACCTTATTGTGTCTTTGTAATAATATCTTCTTCTTCATCTTATTGTGTTTTTGGAATTATATCTTCTTCCTCACCTCATTGTGTCTTTGAAATAATATCTTCTTCCTCACTTCATTGTATCTTTGGAATAATATCTTTTTTTCATCTCACTGTGTCTTTGGTATAAAATCTTCTTTCTCACCTCATCATGTCTTTGGAATAATATCTTCTTCATCATCTCATTATATCTTTGGAATAGTTTCTTCTTCCTCACCTCATTGTGTATTGGAATAATATCTCTTCCTCACCTCATTGTAACTTTGGAATAATATCTTCTTCTTCACTTCATTGTATCTTTGGAATAATATCTTCTTCTTCACTTCATTATATCTTTGGAATAATACCTTTTACTCACCTCATTTTATCTTTGGAATAATATCTTTTTCTTCACCATATTGTTTCTTTGGAATAATATCTTCTTCCTCACTTCATTGTGTCTTTGGAATAATATCTTCTTTCTCACCTCATTTTTTCTTTGGAATAATATCTTCTTCCTCTCTTCATTGTATCTTTGGAATAATATCTTCTTCCTCACCTCATTGTGTCTTTGGAATAATATCTTCTTCCTCACCTCATTGTGTCTTTGGAATAATATCTTCTTCTTCACCTCATTGTATCTTTGGAATAATATCTTCTTACTCACCTCATTGTGTCTTTGGAATAATATCTCTTCCCTCAACTCATTGTATCTTTGGAATAATATCTTTTTTTTTATTTTATTTTTTTTATTGTATCTTTGGAATAATATCTCCTTCCTCACTTCATTGTGTCTTTGGAATAATGTCTTCTTCTTCACTTCATTATATCTTTGGAATAATATCTTCTTCCTCACTTAACTCTCTCTACCTCTCTCTCTCTTTGTTGTTGTTGTTGAAATTTTGGATATGGGGGTGTTCAAAACGACCAATTGTAGTGAAGACATATTTTGGAGAATTTGCACATGAAATGAAATCTTTAAGTTTTTGTTGTTGAAAGAATGTATTATATGTTCAAGAGAAATAATGAATTTTGTTAATAATATTCTATATAATAATAATGGATTGAATATAATTTAATAAAGTTTATTTAAGAACTAAGATTACCATAAAAAATTCGTATTTTTTTTATATATATAAAGACTTTGCTAATATGTGATTATTATGAGAGCCGAAAATATTATTATATATATACATATATATATATATATATATATATATTTTAATATTATGTACTATCTAAAATATTTATTAATATTAATTACTATATTTTATCAATAAATAAAATATCTAATAGTATTAGTAATATTAGTATTTTTTTATAGAAATAAATATGAAAATATAAAAAATTCCATAAAATAAAATTTTTTTAGAGAAAAATTTGTAAATTTTTTATTAAATTTACTAGAAAAATTAAATATTTTCATATTATTCTAATTAGTTGTAAGAAATAATTTCTTACAACTATTATTATTTTCTTATTAATTTATTAATTATATAATTTGAATTTAATAAAAAAAAATAGATTTAGCTTAGATAGAAGAATTGTACTATATTTATGTATGTATGTATGTATATATATATATATATATATATATATATATATAATATTTAAGTTATTTTTAGTTATTATTTTAAAGATTGTACATAAGACTATTCTTTTAGATTTAAAATCAATAAATATGATACTAATTTTGATTACTTTAATAAGACCAAGATTATTACAAAAATTATTATAAAAAAATGTTTTATTTTAGTAAAATAAACTGAAAGAAACCAAGCTTATATTTTCAATTATAATTTTAAAGTTCTTGAAGGATTTTGAAAGTTATGAGAATATATATCTTATATTATTTATTAATATCTTTTAGGATTGGATTAATAAATATCTCTAGATTTTATACTTGTCATTTAAAAATACTTAATATTTAATTAAGATAATTATGGAGTATTTTATTATTTATTTCTAATATTTTGTAATTAAAATAATAAATAATTAATTAAAAAATAATTAAATCTATTTATAATTTATTTACATCGACATACTAAAAGTAATATAAAAAATAAATTTTATATTTTTTTTACTAAAAGATTGATATTTTGTATATCTCTAAAATACTATTTTTTTAAAACTATTAACTTTATAGATATTTTATATGTTTGTCTTAAAATTCCATTAAAAGAGACTATTATATCAAATAAAAATCAAAGTAAAAATATCATTATATATGTATATATAGATATACAAAAATAGAATTAAATTTAAATACCATAATATAAAAAAATATTTTTAAATTTAAAATTATTTGATATCAAATTAGATTTTTTATACTTATTTAAATCAAACCATATTACATACTCAAGAAGTAATTTATGTTGCAAAAATAAAATTTTAATTTTTAAATCTATCTATTTATATATATTTGATACAATATTAAGTATAATTTTATATTAAAAAAATAAAATAATTAATATTATAATATTAGTAAAAATTATAAGATATTTTATTGTAAATAATTATAAAAAATAAGTATGAAAAAATTAAATATACTAAAATATATAATTATCATATATATATATATATATAATTTTTACTTTATTTTTTTATCAAGGACATGAATCTTAATAAAAGAAATCCTCAATACACTCTTGTGTTATTCAAAAAGACTAAAAAATTACTTAAAGATGGTAATATATTGAACCAAAATAGCTATTACTAAAAATAAGAATATTAGAAAGACTTGAAACAAGACTAAGGACTAGAAAGTCATTAACAAGAGTGAAGAAGGCTTCATTCTTGCT